ATCTCGGGGCGGCGAAAGCAATCGGCCCGAGCGCTGTTGCTGATCAAGTGCGATATCAAGTGTGCTTGGCACGCGCGGGCGCGCGGGCACGGCCCGAGCTTGCTCATTGTTTTTGATTAAGATTTGCGAACGCCCGATTCACGCGGTCAGCGCTTGGCGCCCATCCAGACTGTTCGCGGCCGAACCCAGGCGTGCATTTCGGCGCCCAGCCCATTTGCGCGGCGACCCAGGACCTCCGACGGCGCCGCCGACACCGCCCGACGACCACCTCCCGACCACCTCCCGACCACCTCCCGACCACCTCCCGACCACCTCCCGACCGCCCGCGGCCGCCCCCCCGACCACCTCCCGACGACCTCCCGACGACCTCCCGACGACCTCCCGACGACCTCCCGACCACCTCCCGACCACCTCCCGACCTCTGGGGCGCCCCGACGACCTCCCGACGACCCCCCGACGACCCCCCGACGACCTCCCGACGACCTCCCGACCACCTCCCGACGACCCCTCCGACCACCTCCCGACGACCATTCCGTTTGCGGAGGTTTGGGCGGCGAACGTGAACCTCCGCCGCGGGCTGGTGAGCCAAACGCGATCGATGTCGGTCGTCGATTTCCAGAGCCCTCCCAGGGCGTCGATCTATGACTGCGGGTGGGCCAGCCCTGGCCTCGGGACCGCTGTCGATCCTGGTGCGCGCCCCTGGTGGCGCTGCGAAAATGCCACATGACCGACGCCTAGGGGCAGCGCCCTGGGGCCAGTAGTTCCCCCAGGGGCTCGGGATTTTGCAAGGTACCCCCCCCCCCACCCCCCACGCGCGCGGGCTTGGAATTCTGCGCAGTGCACCGGCAGCTGGGCTCGGCTTTTGCAAAGTACCCCCCCCCCTCCTCCGCGGGCTCGGATTTTTGCAATGTACCCCCACGCCCCGCCGCGGGCTCGGGATGTTTGCAAGGCCCCCGCCAGCCGATTCCCGCTGCGCCCGCGCCCCCCACGTCATCTTGGGTCTTGGGGTTCGCGCGGTATCGCGCCCTCTCCCGTTCGTTGCGAGGCGGCGCACCGCGGGGCGCAGTGTTTGGGCGGAGCGCAGGCGGGGCGCGGGGCAGGAGATGGCGGGGGGGGGGGCTCGGCGCGGGCTTCTGGCAGAGAGGGATCGCCCGCGACGCCGATGGCACCGCGGGAGGAGACATGCGGGGCCCGTAGTCTCACGGGCCCCTCAATCCACAGAGGCGCATCCATGCCCCGCAGACCCCGATGGCCCCGCGGGCTCCACGGCCCCCGTCGTCGCGCGTCGCAGGCCGCACAGTTACCCTGGGCCCCGCAGGGCCCGCTGGCCCCGCCAGGTTTCGCAAGGCAGGCACCGCGGGTTCCAACGGCCCCACTGGCCCACTGGCGTCGCAGGTCTCGCGCGCCCCACTTGCCCCATCTGCCCAAGTAGCCCCGCAGGTCTCGCAGCCTCGCAGGTTCCAGAACCAGCAGGCCCCACAACCCCAGCAGGCGTTGCATGCCCCACTGGACCCAAAGGGGCCGACATGCCCCGCGATGCTACACTGCGGGGCCCGCGGGTCCCAGCGGGCGAGCAAGCGCCTGGGCCGCGTCGCGCTGCGATCGCGCGGCGCTGGGCAAACGCCGACGATTCGCTATGGCCAGCGCTTGCAAACGCGCGCCCGCAGAAGCATGTGGCCCGCGGCTCGGGTCGCCAAGGATGTTGAGTGGGTGGGTGGGTGGGTGGTGGCGGGGACCTCGGCGGGCGGGGAAGAGCGCCGCGCCGCGCGCGAGGCGCGTCGCGGCGACGGGCCTGGGGCGCGGATCTCGCCCAGTCGGCAGCGCGCCATGTCTGGCAACGCGCAGCGCGCCATCAGTGCCATCGCACGCGATGTCCGCGCGCGCGGGCGCGCGGCAACATGGCGTGGCCGCGCTCGGGCAGCAGCCTGGCGCGGGCGACGCCCGCCGAGGGCGGCGCAGGCATGCAGCCCCTTGCGAAGTGCAGATGCGATGCAGCGCCAAGCTGGGCAGGCTCTGCCGCGTCCATGGCGCGGGGCGATTGCGCGGCGCCCCTGTGCGAGAGTATCGGCGTCGGTTGAATGCCAGCGCGGCGCGCGAGGCGCGCGGTGGTGCCCCGTTCGGCGCGGCAGCCGCCGCGGCGCCCGCGCATATGGTCATCGGAACAGTCGATATGATCATTCAACAAGTACATCGGACCAGCCAAACAAGTTGATATTAGCTTCTCAGCCAGTATATAGGACCCTCCAACATTAGATATGAACCTTCCGACAAACTGATCGGGCCTTCACAAGAACATATAGCACCGTCCCAAAATAGATATGACCCTCACAACAAGATGAACATTCGCCCAACACAAGTAGGCAGGACTCTCCCATCCAGTACGTAGGGCCCGCCCAGCAGGTAAACATGACCATCGCCAGCGTGAATATGAACCTTCCAAAAGTAGATAGAACACTTCCATGCTGTCATATGACCCTCCCAAAGTAGATATGATCCTCCCAGCGGTAGATCGGACCCCCCCCAACGTGGGGCCCCCGCAGCAAGTAGGTAGGACCGCCCCACCGAGGATATCGGACCTTCCCAGCAAGTGTGTAATACGACCCCCCCAACAATTAGATAGCACCCTCACCAACGTAGACATGGCCATCCGAGCCAGTATTGGGGCCCTCCTAACGAGCAGGTGGAGCCCTCACAACAAGTAAACAGACCTGCCCAACAATTAAACAGCACCCCCCAACAACTATATAGGACCCTCGAAGCAATTAGGTGAGGCCTTCCCAACAAGTAGATACAACACTTGCAAAAGTAGGTAGGACCTTCCTAAAAAGGAGATAGGACCCCCCCTCAAGTAGACCAGACTGTCCCCAAAGTAGATAGGACCCTCACAACAATTATGCAGGACCCCCCCCCCACAAGTAGATTGGACCCACTCCAAAAGTATATAGGACACCCCCAAACGTAGGCAGGCCCTTCCCACACGTAGATAGGACACCGCCAAAAGCATATAGGACCCTCCCAACATAGATATGACCCTCCCACCAAGTAGCTCTGACCTTCCCAAAAGTAGATAGGACCCTCCCATATGCAGATAGGACCCTCCCAACAAGTAGATGGGACCATCCGAACAAGTAGATAGGGCCCTCCCAAGGCGTATATAGGACCCGCCCAACAAGTAGACGGGGCCCTCCTAACAAGAATGTGACCTTCCCAAACAGATAATCTTCCCACAAGTAGAGAGGACCTCCCGAATAAAGGAGATAGGGCCCTTCCACCTGTAGATAGGACTTTCCCAACGGTACATAGGACCCTCCCAACAAATAGACAGGGCCCTCCCAACAAGTAGATAGGACCCTCTCAAAGGCACATCGGACCCAACCCAAAGTAGGTAGTACCTTCCCGCAAGTAGATAGGACCTTCCCCAAAAGTAGATAAGACCCTCCCAAAGTAGGTAGGGCCCTCTCAGCAAGTAGATAGGGCCCTCCCAAAAGCAGACAGACCATGCCAAGAAGTGTATAGGACCCTCCCATCAAGTAGATAGGACCCTCCCAGAAGTAGATAGGACCCGCACCAGATCAGATAGGCCCCTCCCAAGAAGTATATAGGACCCCCCATCGCAAGTAGATAGGACCCTCCCAAAAGTACATGTGGCCCCCCAAACAAGTAGACAGGACCGTCCCCAAAGTAGATAAAACCCTTCCAAAAAGTAGATATGACCATCCCATTAGTAGATAGGACACTCCCAAAAGTACAAAACATCCTCACCAAAGTAGGTAGGACCCTCCCAAAAAGTCAATAGGAGACTCTCACAAGTAGGTAGGGCCTTCCCATCAAGTAGATATGACGCTTCGCGAATCATTCGTTTCTGGAAACCCCCATGCGTCGGCAACGCAAGCGACCAACAGCAATATGTGGACCTTATCGAAGCAAGCGTCATAAACATCTGTAGCCAGACAGCAGCGATATGGAGACCCCCATCGGGGCCAATTTCTGGGAGGACGGGAGTTTCGAGCTCTGCCGACGAGCGGTCGCGAGCGAATGCCCACTTCAGCAGATGCCCTCCTGGGCAGCACCGACGTGGTCTCTGGCCACCAGCCGACGGCGACCTTCGACCAAGGCCGCGGCCTCGCCAGCGTTTGCTCCTCTGTGCCAAGCCTTCTCTGGACCAGCGTCGAGGGCCACCTTGCGTGGTGGTGGCGTTTTCAGGTCGACCTTGGGCGTGTGGTTGCCTCGTCGCCACGTGCAGACGTCGGCTCTGGTCTGGCGTTCCGTTTGGGGGGTTTTCGGTCGGGGGCCCCAATTTCTTGATTTCTGTATTCAAAGTTCGGCTTCGCCTGTCCGCCGTTGGCGTCGAAGCATGAAAGCGCAGCATAACCATAAGTACTTCATATGGTTGCGTGTCTTGGTGCTCTTTCGGTGTATTTGTTTCTGGGGAGCGGCACCGCCGTCGAGGTGTCCTGGGATCCCTGGGGCTCTTGCCGACAGGAAAGTGGACGCTCATGCAAGGGTCCAGAGTACCGTACCGAACATTTTTTTTTTTTTTTTAAAAAAAAAAAAAAACAACTTAAAAATCAATGTTGACCTTGCCCGAGCGGCCGCGTGCCCCGAACCTCTGAACTTACCGGAGCGACCGTGGCCTTTGCAATCGATCGGGGTTGCAGTGGATCGTTCGGCAGACGCGCAGTTGTGGCGCGTTGGGCGTAGTAAGTAATTTCCCACACGGTCTCGCCTCAACACGCGGCCACGCCGCATGATTCAATGGATGCGCCGGTGACCATCTGGGATCCATGGCTGTGCGTTGTCTGTCCCGCGCTACCTACATGTGCGATGAACGTGTCTGCTCCAGGCCAAACCCCGAAGCAACGACAGAGACCAACAGGGAAGGTCGTCGGCCCCATCGTCCCTCCGTCGTCGCCGCTTTGGTTCAGGGACTCAGTTGCAGTCCTCAATTCATCACTTCTGTTCTGGCCATTGCACTTCACTTGCGCGTGGCTGGCAGGGCGATGGCGTCCCGCAAGCGTGCTCCGAGAGGCGATGGCCCTGCTGACGAAGAGCCCGTGCCCAAGAAGGCCGCCCGCAGTGGTGGGCATGGTCGCGGGCGTGGAAGGAAAGCCAGGGGGGCTGCTGATGCAGGCGGTGCCGACCAGGACATCGGCGGCCTCTTCCACCTCCCAGGCGGCTCGGCCCCCCCGACCATCGGTGAGATGCGAAACCCTGACCTGGGCGATGCCTTGCGCAAGCCTGGTGCGCCGTGCACGTGCCAGAGGTGCAAGGCTAAGTCTGTGCCCGAGACGGTGCCCCTCTCGGTCAATGCGTGCGACCAGTGCTATTCCCCCATGCCGCACTTTCACGCCCTGGGCGTGAGCTTCGTCCAGGTTTGCGGCCAGTGCAGCGCTGACAAAGAGTTCGACGAGACCTTCGAGAAGCTGATCAAGGTGGCTGACACGGACCCCGACGAGGTCTTTCCCGACGCAGAGCATCATTGCGCACAAGAGGTTGGGCTACACAGTCATCGCGAACTTCACTGCCAAGAAGGAGAGCGACATGATGTCCACCGACACGAAGGGCCTGGACCTCAAGGCTCTGGGCGAGAAGACGGGCACCATCCCGAGTCCGTTCACTGGGGGGCAGATGAACGACATGGTCTTCACTAAAGACGACAGCGGGCCCTTCTTGCAGGTTAAGGTGTGGTGCAAGGTGGAGCTGGAAGGCCAGATCGTCAACATGAGTCCTCAGAAGCGGGTGGCGGCAAATCAGCCTGCGACGATGTTCGACAAAGTCCGCAAGCTCCTCACCGAGTCCCTGCCCGTGAGCCTTCGCGGGAACAAGTTCCCCCCGACCCTGGAGTTCTTGAAGAAGAAGGCCCTGGGTATGACTGCCCCTGGAGACGACGGTGTGGGCGCCAAAGGCAGCGGGCAGCCGCGCGGAGATCAAGATGGTGTCTCTGCAGAGCCTCCTGCTGGTAGCCGTGGACTCTTGGAGGCCAATGCCGCGTCTGGCCACGGTGCGGCCTCGCCTGCTGCGACGGGCGCGCGGGCCCCCGACGCAGGTGCAGGCTCTGTGCATCCTGACGACGCCGCCACGGAAGCTCCTCCGTTACTGGGCATGCGCGCGGGATCGCCTGAGCTTCTGAGGCAGGCGCCAGGGGGGGCGAGGTCAGGAGGATCGATGACTGAGTTGTACCAGAGCCCCTGCGACACCAAGAGCGTGGTAAGCGATGGCGCCGCGACCACAGCGGGCGGCAACAAGAGGTAAAAGCGGAACCTCACGGACCAGGAGAAGGCGATCGACCTCATCAACCGATTGGGTGCTGGCCAGGTTCTCCAGGGTAAGTACAACGGCTCCGACGTCTATGCAGCAACGCGTTTCGAGGACTCGGCGAAGGTCGACTCTTGCATCTCGAACGTTCGGCGCGCCAGGCTCAAGTACGAGCAAGCATACAAGATTGTGAACCCAGGATCCGTGGAAAAGGGCGTCTTGTTCAAGACCCTGGGTGAGCTCAAGAAGAAGGGGATGGTATTCCCGCCAGCCTACGCGGTGAAGCTGGTCCAACTACGAGTCAAGAGCGCCAGCGTCACGGAGGACATCGCTGATGCGATCATGCCTTTCAGCATTGATGGCCTAGAGGATTTCGCTGACGATTTGGATGGCGACGGCGGCGGCTCCAACTTCGATTGCCTGAACCCTCGCCTGCGGGATATCCCTACACCTGAGCCAGCTGCCTTCGTCGCCAGGTTTCGGGCGGTGGCCTCGGAGTACGTCGTGATGCCCTTGGTCAAGCAAGGCCAGTCGGGGAGGTATCTCAATGCGAGGTTAGTCGACGATATGGAACACATCTTGGAAGACGCGACCGTCGACAAGTATGCAGGCACGCCACAGGATTACGACATTCTCAAGAACTGTGCCCTGGAGTTGATTACCATCCTGCGCCTTCTGGGGTCACTTGACGCGCCAGGGGTCGACAAGCTTGTGAACTTGGACAGCCTGATTGTGAAGAAGTTCTTGGATGGGAGTTTGGACAAGTGCTGGCAGACCGCCAAGCAGGACATCGAGGACAGCAAGTTCTGGGCTCCAGCGCTGGCACTTTTTATGAGACACAGGGCGGACGAGTTCGACCTCGCTCCCAAGGTTGTCCACCTGATGAAAACGCTTGATGGCATTCCGAGTGGGGACAAGCAGGAGTTCTTCAAGGGCAACGTGGCTGAGTTGACACGCATTGCGAAGCTGTGCAGGCCGACCGCTTGCGACGTGGCGTGGGCCAAGCTGCTGGATACCATAAGCACGTGGCTCCGTGCCCGCATCGCCGTCGAGGAGCTCGAAGTTAAGGAGATGGGCGGCGTCGACCGCTTCATCGAGGAGCTGTGCAACTCGACTAGCTTTGAGGAGTGCTCGAGTCTGAAAGAAAGGATCGGCGTGCTGCGCAGCATCTCCTTGGCAAAATACGAAGACATGAAGCAGGTCGACGGTTCCAAGCAAGCTGTGCTGGCTTTGCGGAGGTTCGCCTCTGCCCCGACCGTCGATAACACGAACGCTCTCAAGAAGACGATCTACCAGAGGCAGATCCACTTCACCGACGCGGACCACATCGAGACAGTTCGCCATGTCATGGTAACGGTGAACACGGCTGCCATGGCGAGCATTAGCAAGTACTCAGAACAGGTCTCGGTCTCCCCCGAGTGGGCCATGGAGATCAAGCTTCACAAGGAGCAGCTCACCCTCATGAGCACCAGGGTCAAGGCGTTCGTCGCCGACGAAGGGTGGCCAGACACATGCAATACGGTTTTGGCGGACCTCCTCTCCGACAAGCTGAACACGATCGCGATGGCCATCGATCTCCTCGCAGAGGGCGGGACCGCGGAGCAGCAGGTAGTCAGCGACAACGGCTTCGATGCATTCCAGGCCTTGCACGCGGTGTATCTGGAGAACGGCCGCGAGCGCTGGAAGGGGAAACTGACGCTCGACGGTTCCGCTTCTTGGTCCGACGTCGGGGTCCAGACGAAGTACGCCGAGTTCTTCCTCATGGAGTCGACGCCCGCAGACCTCTTCGCCACCATCGGGAAGATGCTGGAGGACTTCAAGCGCGCGGGGATGGCCGAGGTGACGGCGCAGCTCGGCAAGATGGCGGACTCCGTGGACGCTCAGAAAGGATCGGGGGAGGCAGCGAATGTGCAATAACGGATGTGTTCCTCGTCGCCGCCTTCATCCAGCTCAAGCTTTGGGCTGGATGGGGAAGGCGGGAGGGCTGCATTGGTTATGTGTATAGTCGCCCCCCCCATCAGGAGGCATGACCGACGGCGCGAACTACAAGGGTGACCCAGCGTCGTTCGGGGAGCTGACCTGGGAGCAGATCCTCGAGAAGGCCGAGGGGGCCGTGTTCCCCGTCGCGCAGAGGGGTACGAGCAAGAGGTTGACGTCGCTGCGCACGAAGGCCATCGACAGCGTCAACGAGTACAAGAAGGAGGCACAGAAGCTGTTCGTCGATCTGGGCGCCGACGAGTTCTTCGCTGCAGCGGCGCAGAGGATCGAGGAGGGCGCCCGCTGCATCGACACGACCCTCAGCGAGTGCAAGATCATGCACAACATCCACCGCGACAACAAGACGGGCCTTGCGCAGAGGCAGGCGCGCGTCGACGAGGAGCTGACCAAGGCGAGCGGCACGCTGGCCGAGGGCGCCGTGAAGCTCGAGCTCCACGAGGTCATCAAGGCCAAGGCGCTGGAGTTCATGCGCGCGTGAGCTCCCAGCCAGGAGTTCATCATTGCAGGTGTTATAAGTTGGTTTCAGGCTGCCGTGGGAGTGCGGCCGATGACTTTTCACGCGTCGGCGTGAAACTTAACACGTTGGTGCCCATGGTCGGCAACCCACCATGAGGGCACAGGTCGGGAAACATGATATACCTTACCATAGGTCATCATCATCGCCATCGCCACGTACATCACCAGCATAGCCACTACCACCACCATCCCAGTCACTAGCATCACCATCGCCATCATCATCAGTTTTACCATCACCACCACCAGCATCACCATGATAGTCACCATCATCACCATCACCGCCATGATCACCATCAACATCATCACCATCATCGTCACCATCATCACCGTCAGCATCATCCAAGACACCATCAACATCATAATCACAATCATCACCGTCATAGTCACCATCATCACCGTCACCATCATAAGTGCCATCATAAGTATGCTGCTATACACCCTCCCGTCCATTTTCCGTGTGTCTGGGTCGTAACACTTGATGTTAGCTGTTCCTTTCACGCCTGATGCTAGTATAGTCACTTGCATCATCCTCGTCACCATCACCACCGTCCTTGCACCAATGATGCTGCTATTATACACCCTCCCGTCCAGTTTCCCTCCTCGTAAGTCCATGTTCCCATTTCGCGCATTCCGACCGATGCGGGACGATCCTCAGGGATGATAGAGGGGCGTTTCGATTTATTGGGGGCACGCCTTGAAACAACGCGCGGGGGCAATAACAGAAATCATGCATATGTGGAGTTCGTCGAGTTTTGTACCCCGCGGGTTTCGTCGGGGCTGTGGGGAAGCAGGAATGTCGATCAACGCTCCCGCGAAACAAATCAGGCCACCGAGGTGTTGATCTTGTGTGCCACCCTCGTGGGAGGAACCTTTGGCTGGGCGACCTTTGGGCCCACCAGGGGCTCTCAGAGCCACCAGCGGGCGACCATCTCAAAACCATCTCTGGTGGATCCTGGCTTTGCTAGGATCCCGTGCTTCTACTCTCCTCGTTCCTCTTCTCCTCCACCTCCGATCTGCGGAACCCTCGGTTCTCCGAAAAGCGCGCTGTGGCCCTCGAGCTCGACAGGGGAGGGGGGAGGAGGAGGAGGAGGAGGAGGAGGAGGAGGAGGAGGAGGAGGAGGAGGAGGAGGAGGACGAGGAGGAGGAGGTGGAGGAGGAGGAGGCGGAGGTGGAGGAGGAGGAGGATGGGTGGAGGGGGGAGGGGATGGGTGGAGAGGGGGGTCGGCGACAGGCCCAAAATGGGAAGCGGCAGGCAGAACGGCGAGGGCACGACCGCACGGTGGACCTCCTCCACCTCCCCGCCCCTCGGCAGGTACCACGAGATCGACCGCGCGAACCGCATCCTCCTTCAGCGGATGCTCCGCTCTCGGCCCGCAGGATGGGTTAGAGGAGGGAGGGCTGGGGCCAGCCCCCCCGGCCTCGTGACCCTTTCCACAGCGTCGGCCCCCAGAGGGCTGGACCCCCTCCCTTGGGGCCGGATGTCCGTCCCGAGCCGTCGTGCGACGGCCCCGAGGCCCCGAGGCACGGGGCAGGACTCCCGGGGGCCGCAAGCAGCTCAGCGGCCTCTCGCGTCGTGATGTTTCTCCTGTTGTCGCAGCTTGAGGGGAGGGGCGTGGACGGGAGATGGCTACAGCGTCCGGGGAGGAGGAGGAGGAGGAGGAGGAGGAGGAGGAGGATGAGGAGGAGGACGAGGAGGAGGAGAGGAGGAGGAGGAGGAAGGAGGAGGAGGAGGAGGAGGAGGAGGAGGGGGCCTGGTGGAGGAGGAGAAGGATGGGACGTCATCAAAGTCATGAAGGAGGCCCTGGCGACCGTCACCACGCTGACGACCGCCAGGGCCCCAGATGTCAAGAAGAGAGGCCCTCGCCGCCGCGCGCACGTGACCGCGGACGCAGTGGCGACGAGGGGAGGGCCCCGAAGAAGCCCAGACAGGCATCCGTCACGACCCTGGCCTGCCCTGCGGGCAAGACATGGGAGCGGAAGCCACCCCCGCGGGGACGGACGGGCAACACCAAGGCCACCCGAGGCCACCGGGGACCACGGCCCAGGAGGGCCACGCAGCCGCCAGCCCCCACCCGACGGGGAAACGGGTTCGCACAACACGTGCGAGCCCGAACCCAAGCGGCCAGGACCCGAGCCTGGCCCGCCGCACACCCCCAGCCAGGCCCGCCCAGCCAGCCAGGATCCAGCATCCCACGGGCCGACCACCGCGCATCACCTGCGCTTGCGCGGGCGCCGCGCGCAGCATCGCTCGTGGGTGGCGGCTTGGAGCCGCTGGATGTCCTCTTCCATCTCGATCATCTTGTCGGGACCAGCGGTTTGGACAGCTTGCCGCTGGAGGACCACCAGCCTGTGCCGCCCGCCCTCGTAGCCGCGCACGTCGAAGACGTCGCGGACCTCGCCGCCGCCGAGCGCCCTTGTGACGTCGTCCTCGGACTCCACGACAATCGTCTTCAGCCAGTCGGTGGCCACGGAGCCTGGGGCGCACCTGATGTCACGCATCGATCGCTTCCCAGTCTGCTTGGCCACAGGCTTCCGTGAGAGCTTGTTGGCCTCCTCCAGCGCCTCTGCCTTCACCGTGGCAGTGGGCTCAGTCTGGAGCGTTGCTGCCGTGCCGACCTCGGCACTGTAGACCATCACCTCTTCGAGCTCGCCCTCGGAAGACTCCTTGACCTTGAACCCGCTCGTGGTCATCGCCTTGGTGTCGCTCTTCCCGAGGCTCGGGAAAGAGGGCACAGGCGGTAGTAGCAGGCCGCCACCACCCGCGCCTGGGTGCGTCTCCCTCGTGATGGGGTTGCCGATGCTCTCAAGCTCGAGCTGCTTGTCCAGCGCCGCCGTGATCTCGCTTCGCCGTGGCTTGCGGTCCACCGCGATCCGCTTGAGCCACTGGCGCCCTGCGCTGCTCGTGGTCCGAGGGAGCTGGCGGAAGGAGGTCGCCCTCGTTGAGCTTCCATCCTGGCCTCCACAAGTCTCTCTGGACGGCCACTGCACAGCCGCAATCGTTCTTCCCGTACTCGTCGCCCTGGTCCTCGTCATTGTCCTCGCCGCCGACGTCGGCTTTCCCGTCCGAGTGCTGGCGGTCTGCCGTCTGGACCTCCACGGTCTCCTCGGCCTCTGGGGTGACGTCGGACGGGACATGGTCGATGTGTATGACGTGCTTTGCCGTCTGCATCTCCACCATCTTCCCAAACTCCTGGGTCTGCGCCTTCGGTATGTGGACGAAGCCGGCGTACTCCCCCGTCGGCACTTCCACGACCTTCTCGATCTGCTCGGTGACGTCCAGCAGCAAGTCAGCCTGCACGCCGACCTACGCTACGGCCACCGCCGCGCCCTTGAGTTGCCAGGTGATCGCCTTGGTCTCCATGAGCTCCTGCACCAGGCCGTTGCACCCCTCAACGTGCGCCTGGACCTGGCTCTCCAGCCCGGCGTGCTGCCGCCCGCAGCTCTCTTGGCCTCCTCGTCCGTCTCGGCCGCCCTGCCACCACCCGCGACGGGCGGATCCTGCGGCGAAGGGAACGGCGGGACAGGGGGCGAGCGGCTCCTCCTCCTCCTCCTCCTCCTCCTCGCGCTCCTCCGCGCCGGACTCCTCGCGGTGCTTCCTGCCGCCGCGGGCCCGCCGTGCCGCCTCGCGCGCCGAGGCAGGCACCGACTCGGCGTCCGAAACCGAGCTCGGCGTGCTGGGCCCAGTGTTGGAAGGCCCTGCAGATGCCCGAGGGGGCCGCCTGCGCCCCGCCAGGCCCGCCTCCACCTGCCTCTTGAGGAACGGCCTCGCGAGGCGCTCGCGCGCGCGGATCTCGCCGTCCACCGCGGGGTCCGCCACCTCCGCGCCGAAGAGCAGCGCCGCGCCCGTGCGGAGGGTGGCCGCGGCGGCGGCGGCAAGGTGCTGGCGCTCGCCACCACCCTCAGCCGCGCCCGCCACGGCCGCCCGAACGAGCGGGGCAAGCGCCGCCAGTGCCTGGCTGCGCTCGACCGTCGCCATCGCCCGAGCCGCGCGCCGCGGGCGCGCCGAGCTGGCTAGAGCCAAAATGGCTACGGAAGGGAGGAGAAGAAGGAGGAGGAGGAGGACGTGGTGGAGGAAGAGGACGAGGAGGAGGAAGAGGAGGAGGAGGAAGAGGAGGAGGAGGAGAAGGAGGAGGAGGAAAACTACTACTACTACTACTACTACTACTATTACTACTACTACTACTACTACTACTACTACTACTACTACTACTACTACTACTACTACTACTACTACTTCTACT